ATCTTGGGCTGTTTCTGTGTTTTTGACATGTTCATGCTGGGTTTGTGTTATGTATCACATTGCCTTGTCTGGGATCCATGCTCAGTGGAGATGATTTTATAATATAATATAATATAATATAATATAATATAATATAATATAATATAATATAATATAATATAATATAATATAATATAATATAATATTTCTTATTGATTTTTTAAAATTTATATATACAGTATATTTTTATTATATGTAAGGCCCACTCTATCCCCTAACTCCTCTCAGTTCCACTCCCAGGATCCCACTCCATGCACTTCAAAGAAATAATTTATTTTTAAAAATATGATGTTTTACATGCATGTATGTCTGTGTGAGGGTGTCAGATCCCCTGGAACAGGAGTTACAGGTGGTTGTGAGCTGCCATGTGGGTGCTGGGAAATGAACCCTGGTTCTCTGGAAGGATAGCCAGTGTTCTTAACTAATGGGCCATCTCTCCAGCAACCCTTATGCACTTTTAACAAAATCAATTTTAAACTAGGTACTGGGGGCAAATGGTCCTCTTGCTGTATTATTAATAAGCATACTATGAAAAACAGCTTATGAACCACAGCGACAGCCTCTACTGATATGGAAGTTTTCAAACTATTTACCAAAAAACAAAACCAATGTTATGTTTCGTATTGAGAATTGCTGGAGTCTGTGCACAATGCTGCCTGCCCATGGCCCCCAAGGCTGCACATTCCTAGTAACTCTGGGTTTCCAGCTTTCTGCTAATTTTGCTTCTAATTCTCCAATCCCTCATTTCCTTCTTGTTCTGAGTATTTCCTTGATTCCAGTGCCACAAACACCCTTAATATCCATTCATTTTTAGTTCTTTAGTTTCTCCTTTTTTATTCTCTTTGAATGGTCTCAGTCTCTAGTGGACCTGTCCAGTGGGCTCAGCTGAGGCGGAGTGTGGATATGGATGAGCAAACATAAACAAAGCTTAGGATGTTGTTCAGTCTGAAGCAAAGCCCATGTCTCAATATGATGCACCTCTGATATTACCATGTGACAGGAAGGATTCTGTCACATTTTTTCAGATACTAACAAACACAGCTGCTCTTCTCCATTTCTGTAGTTCCAAACCTCAGGTACATTTATTTTCCATGGAATGACAATTTTGACCTTCCAAATAGTAGATAAATGTCCTCTGTCCTTTGCCCTTTCTATCTTCTGGTTGAATTTTGTTTGTTTGTTTTGTTTTGTTTTGTGATTTCTCCCAAAGGATAAGCAGATGCTTGAGTCCTTTGTATCCTAAGCTCTTTATCATCTGCTTGAACTAAGCCAGGTGCTTATGGATAGCATTCCTAAAGGTGGGGCCTATAGGAAGATATTCTCTATCCGTTTATCACCTGGTCATGCTTTAGAGGCCTCAGTAGACAGCATGAACCCACAGATTCTCATCTTTTACAGAAGGCACTGTGTTTAGGGTGTGTTTTTTGCACCTGCAGAGTAACCTTGTATTAAAAAAAAAAAGCACCAAACCAAAATAATAGAAAAGAATATGATCAAAACATATGGTGTGAAAATTATTTTAAAGGAAAAAAAAAACTTTGCACTAATGTTATGCCTTGGCTTTGTCAGTGTTCTATTGCTGTGAAGAGACACCATGACCAAGGCAACACTTTTTTTTTTTTTTAAATAAGATTTATTTATTATGTACTCAGGATTCTGCCTGCATGTGTGCCTGTGCACCAGATCTCGATATCTGGTTGTGAGCCACCATGTGGTTTACTGGGAATTGAACTCAGGACCTTTGGAAGAACAACCAGTGCTCTTAACTTCCGTGCCATCTCGCCGGCTCCCCAAGGCAACTCTTATAAAGGAAAACATATTTAATTGGTTCAGAGGTTTAGCCCATTGTCCTCATGTTGGGGAGCAGGCAGACATAGTGCTGGAGAGGCAGCTGAGAGTTCTACATCCACATTGGCAGGCAATAGGAAGAGAGAGCCACTGGGCCTGGCTTGAGCTCCAGAAACCTCAAAGACCACCCCTAGTGACAAACTTCCTCCAACAAGGTCACACCTACTCAAACAAGGCCACACCTCCTAATCCTGGTCAAGTAGTGCCACTCCCTAATGACCAAACATTCAAATATATGAACCTGGGGGGAAGGGCATTTTTATTCAGACAACGACACTCTTGAAAACAACAACAACAACAAAAACGTTGAGGAACCTTGATGGAGTTTTCAGTTTTGAAGGAAGATACACACAAAAACGTTAAGAACACGGAAAAACTCTTATGCTTAAATCTAGCTGATCTCCCAGGTTGTTGGGCTGTGAATTCCTTGGGCCAAGGTGTTTAGGAGCCAGCCATTTATCTTCTGGAAGAGTCAGAGCAGAGGGACATCCCAAAACAAAGCAGCAAGGAACCCAACATAAAATGCTGAACGGCTCTCAGGAATCAGGGTTCTCAGTCAGGGCTCCTCACCAAAACGGCCCCACACTGAGGGAATTACATGGAGAGGCTGGGAAGATGTGGTCCCCCCTAATGTAAGGATTCCAAGTTCCCTTATTAAAAATGTACATGGGTATAAAATCCTACTGCCTAAGTGTCTGTGTTTAATACAAAAACGTTTCCCTGCAACCCAAGTCCTTAAGCAAAGCTGACATTCAAGAAGCCGTGTCACGGGAATGACTGTGATATAGGTGAGCTGTGTTCTGACTCCTTGCTTTCTGCTGTCCTCTGCACCTCCCTCACATGCCTTCTGTGGAGGATGAGGTTTCAGGCAAAGGTTCTGCACCCCATCTTTCTAGGTATGCCAAGACGTTCTGAGGAAGACTGGAATGCTAAGAAGAACAGTGAGAAGGCAAGTCACAAGCCTCCTCTTCTTGCCGTCTCTCTAGGGAGATGGAGTGGGTGTTCGACATGCAATCATGTGATAACCACTGGGCTCACTTACGTGAAAAGTTGTGGTGGTCCGACAGTCTGGACTCCTGCAATGGGAGAAGCCAGTGTTAGATGAGAGGACAGAAGAAAACAGAAAACAGGGCCTCAGAGAAGCTTGGCACACACACAAAATGAATAAAATCTCTTTAAAAATGTTCTGGGATGCAGGGATGGCTCAGCAGTTCGGAGCACTGGCTTCTTGGCTCTTCTGGAGGTCCTGAGTTCAACTGCAGGCAACCACACGGTGGCTTACCACCATGATATCCAGTGCCCCCTTCTGGTGTGCAGACAGACAAAACACTCATGCATAAAATACATAAACAAATAAGCCTTTTAAAAAGCTTCATAAACAAACAGAAACCACTCTTCTTTGTTTGCCCAGCCTCATTAAGTTCCACTGGGTGGTACTGCTACAGGCGAAAAGATGTAGGGCCCATTTACAGGATGAAGACTTAAACAGATCCCTATTCAGTGGTGTATATGGCAGAGGACAGCTCTGGGGATATTGTTTTTTTTCCTTCCACCATGATGTATTCCAGGATTCAACTGGGACTGTCAGGCTCAGTGGTGCCTTTGCCTGCTGGGCCGTCTTCTTGCCTTATTGTGAGCTTATGTAATTTTTAAATTTAAATTTTAATATTTAAAACACTGAAACAGTATTTTTGCCTGTTTGTTTTTTTGAGATAGGGCTTCTCTGTGTAGCCCTGGCTGTCCTTGAACTCACTCTGTAGACCGTGCTGGCCTCAAACTCAGAAATCCACCTGCCTCTGCCTTTTGACTGCTGAGATTAAAGGCCTGTGCTACCACCTCCTGGCTCTGAATCAATCTATCTGTCTGTCTGTCTGTCTGTCTGTCTGTCCACGTATCTTATGTATGAGTGCTCTGCTGAATATACACCTGCATGCCAGAAGAGGGCATCAGATCCCTTTATAGATGCTCATGAGCTCCATCATCTGGTTGCTGGGAACTGAACTCTATCTAGAAGAGCAGGACCTCTATCTAGAAGAGCAGCCAGTGCTCTCAACCGCTGAGCCATCTCACTGGCCCCTGAAACAATATTTTTATTTATTTATTTATTTATTTATTTATTTATTTATTTATTTATTTATTTATTTATTTATTCATTCATTCATTCATTCATTCATTCATTCATTCATTCATTTTGTGTTTGTGCATATGTATGCCCATGCCACAGTGCCTGTGTCGAGGTCAGAGAAAAACGTTCAGGGGTCAGTTCTCTCCTTCTCCCCCTGTGGGTTCTGGGGATGGGTTCAGGTTGTCAAGCTTGGTGGCAAGCACCCTCAACCCTGAGCTACAATGCGCATTGAAGTAGGAATGAAATGACATGTTTAAAAGATTTTTTTGTTAAGTACTACGGAGAAACAAGATTGGCTTTGAATAGCTGTATTATTGTTGACACTGGGCGAGGGGTGCCAGGAAGACACATTAATGTACTTCTGGCCATCTTCTGTAATAAACAGAAGCTTCCCCCTTACAAGTGTTGGAAACTTACCGTAATAACATTGTTTTTTCATTTTCTCTCTGGAAGCCTATGAGCAGTTACTTAAACATGACAGGCTGGATGCTGTTAATGGTCACGCTGTAACAGCTGCGTCACTGTAGCCCCTGGGGTGACTGAAGCTCAGAAATGGACTGCTCGTGAGAGGTTGGCTGGTTTAAGTCAGAGCTCCCCTGTCTTGATTTGGGCTTCACATTTTAAGCTCCCGATAAAGCCTCTCAATTTTCTCCTAGAACAGCAGTTTTCAACATGTGGATCTTGACTCCTCTGGGGACCGAACAACCCTTACACAGTAATTTCATATCAGATATCCTGCATATCAGATGTTTACATTCCAGTTCATAACAGTAGGAAGATTACAGCTATGAAATAGCGACAAAAATAATTTTATGGTTGGGGGTGACCACAACATAAGGAACTGTAGTGAAGGGGTGCAGCATTAGGGAGGTTGAGACCCACTCTCCTAGAAAATCAATCTCAGTCCAACGTTAGTTTGCAAACGTAAGTAGCATGCCTGCATTTTCTCTAAAGGATACTGCATCTTTTCTTTCTGGTTTACCCACAGAACAAAAGAGAAGACAGAGTATTGGTAGTGAAATCGGCTCACCCAGATTCCTGAAACTTTCTAAGGGCATGTTGTACCCGGAGTCGGGGTTCCTCCATAGCAAGGTAGATGTGGTTAGTGAGGTTTCTCTCCTTTTCTTCCGTTTGGTATTGTTTGAATCTATTCTTGGTAGTCAGAAGTCCAAAGTATGCCAATCTCCATCTATGAGGAGAGTAAGATTGGTTTTAACTCCTACCTGCCTGTGGACTTCCTTGCTAACTTTCTTAAACTCTGCATCCTTTAATGAGACTGATGAGTTTTTTTATGAATGTAACCCTGTACATTTATGAATGACAAAAGTAGTATTAAAATTTTATCCCTTATCTATTATTGAAATAGGATTTCTATGGACCCCTCCCTCCTCTGCTGATTTTCCAATTTCTCCAGCCTGCTTTGCCTTCCTGTCTTTCAGGTCACAAATATCCTTGGTGGCACATTTCCATAGTCTTTTTCAGGTACAAGCTGTGTGATGCCTGAAGCCTGAATTAGCTCAACACAAGTCAGCCTCTTTGTAGAGTAAGCCCAGCTAAGTTATCAGGACTGGGATGGAAGAGTCAGCACAGGTGGAAAGCCAGGGTCAGCTCCCAAGCCCCCACCATGGCTCACTGAGAAGAGCAGTGGCTGCTGCCCTGGCCCTGGATGGGGAATCCACAATGGGCCGCAGGAAGAAGAAGAGGAAAGAGTCTCGCCCGGAGTCCATCATCATCTACCGGTCAGATAATGAGAAGACGGATGAGGAGCCGGAAGATTCTGAAGGTGGAGATCGGCCTAAAGAGGAGGAGGGGGAGGACTTCCTGGACTATCCTATAGATGATGGTGAGTCTTTCTGGAGCCCCGTGTTCAAAGTGATAGAAAGAAGAACCAAAGCAGGGTCCACCCTCCAAGAGACAGGCACCCACTTACTGGCTTTTTTTTTCTGATGACGCATTTCTTGAAGTGTTCCAGTCTTCACTCGCTAAGCTGACACCTGTTACTTATAGCCTAGTATCCTCAAGTCTAGGAGAGATGGGGATCTCGATCTTTTACAACTGCTAGTGTAAGAGAAGCTGATTTATAGGCTAGTTACATAACATATATGAGATAAAGAACAACAGTTGTTATCTTTCATAATAATTATGAACATAATGAATACTTATGAACAGCCAGGTATGGTAGCTTACACCTATAATCCCAGCACTTGGGAGGCTGAGGCAGTAGGATCATGAATTGGATGCCATCCTGGGCTATACAGTGAGACCATGTCTCAACAAAACAAAACAAAACAAAAAGTCAACCAGCCCATATCTATCTATCTATCTATCTATCTATCTATCTATCTATCTATCTATCTAT